TTTAGAATTTTGTACTCTCTTTTTAAAGTGTTAAAAAAAAAAAAAAAAAAAAGTCACTTTGAGAACTAACGTACATTGGACCCAAATCATGGTATTTTCAATCATCAATAGGCATAAAAAAGCTGGACAATGAATAAGGAAAACTGAACAAGAATTGACCCATTTCAATTATGGATTTACTGAAGAATGTTGAATATACCATGAACTGCCAGAGGAATGAAAATATCCATCTTGGAAGAAGTACTGTCAGAATGCTCCTTAGAAGCAAGGATGGACCATTTTAAACATGGGATGGATATGCTATGATTTACATTTTCGAAAGAAGACTCTTTCATTTGCTGATACTAACTTACTTCTATACCCTTAATATATAGTATTTTCCTTTATATGTGCTATTTCATTCCTTATGTTCACCCATGCTTGTTTTCCTCAATTCTCCTCTGCCTAAAATACCTTCTCCACCTTTATATTTCTATTTTTTTAATTATCCAACTCTTCAACTACCACCACTCACCTTCAGTGCTCATGGCCTTAGTATCCTAATGCCAGTCTCACTGGGACGTGTAATCTGCTTACTGTGCCCCACCCTTCTTCATGTTCTCACTGCCCCCATTAAGTTTAAATTCCATGGTCCCTTATTATATTCAATCCCTTTCATACACTGTCAGTTCTGTAACCTCTGTTACTTTGTCATAATCACCTAGTAAAACCCTAACCCTGGTTAAATACAACTTTTTGCATTCTTCATTCAAAAATGTGCCTTGGATAAAATGAGACTGGTGAGTCTCATTTTAAATTCAAGACCACTAATCTCAAGTAAAGGAGCTTTGGTGGGGTAGTGCCTAACACATTTGACTGCTAACCAGAAGGTTGGCAGTTCAAACCCACCTGCCACTCCATGGAAGGAAGACTGGGCAATCCACTTCTGTAAATATTTACTGGCTAACAAACCCAAAGGGGGTCCCTATGAGTCAGAATTGACTCAATGGCAGTGAGTTTTTGTTTGTTTGTTTGTTTTGTTTTTAATCTCAAGTAAGACAATACTACTTCATGGTCATCATACTAATTTAGTCACTCTGTCTTTCTCCTAGTGTGTGGAGCAGACAAAGGTCTCATAGTTTATGTAATGCCTTCTTTTCCATCTTCACCCTCAGTTGCCATGACTGATTTCACTTTATGGAGAAAATAAAAATAATCAAAAGAAAACAGCACAAGCTCTCACTAGCACATCTTCCACCTATGTTGTGCTCCTCTTACATTTTACACATGTGTCCATGTTCTCTGCTTTTCATTACTATGCCACAGTGTTAGGCTAACAACAACAACAAAACAATCCCACTGCCATTGATTTGATTCCCAGATAGGGGTTCTATACAACAGAGTAGAACTCCCATAGGATTTCTAGGGCTGTATGTCTTTACAGAAGCAGAGTGCCCCATCTTTCTCCTACAGAGTAGCTGGTGGGTTTGAACTACTGACCTTTTGGTAAGCAGTGGAATGCTTTAACCACAGTGCCACCAGAAAGTGGGCAATAAATCCTGGCTGATTGAATATACTGACATTGCTCTATTTTCTGGAGAGATAATGCAGTGTACATGAAGAAAGTATAAGAGAGGGAATAAAAAGACTTGTCCTACTAAAATGGATCAGATTTATTCTGAAATAAGGATGTCAAGGATTGATACAATTATCTAGACAATTAAGAGGAGAATCTCCCATTTTTTCTTAAATGCCCAGATGTTTTCTTCAATATTCCACTGACGTCCTTTTAAATTTCGTCTCAATGTGACCAACCACATATTAAGAAATTTGTAATTAAATTTAATTAACTTTAATTGATTAAAGTTAATGTCTGATGAACAAGAATGAAGCTGATAGTTGCCCATTTATGAAGTGGATGGCATCTCAATGCATGTGTTGACAACTATTTTGGGCCAGACACTTAAGAAAATGTTTAAAGACAATGCATTGATACACTATGTTATGCATCAATGGGTTTAAAGGAAAGGAAGTGCTTTTTTAGGTGGTATTCTGCTGCTTCCAACCAATTCTGTGGACCTCACATAATCTTGAACAAAAAAATAAGCAATTTTCCTCCATGTTACTTTATTCTTAAGAGGATATTTTGGTCAGAGCAGCCTCACTAGCCTCTGAAGAGAGGTTGTGTATATGGTGAAAAGAGCCTGGGTGTGTTTTATACAGAATATCTTAGCATTCACTCATCATTTGACCTAGGACAATTTATTTGATTGGATCCTGACATTATTTATCTGTAAATTGGAGAAGATCCCCATCAAAATATTATGATGAAAGGAGATACCAAGTACTTAGTTAATGTTAGCTATTATAATCACATTTGATTGTCTCTGCTGAACAAAATCAGGTTCTGTCAAGTGTGACCCTCTATACAATAGCATGAAACACTACCCAGTCCTGTGCCTTTCTCAAAATTGTTATTATGCTTGAGCCCATTGTTGCAGCCACTGTGTCAGTCCATCTCATTGAGGGTCTTCCTCTTTTTGCTTACTCTCTACTGAGCATGATATCCCTCTCCAGGGAATGGTCCCTTCTGATAATATGATCAAAATACTTATGAAAGTGGTTTTAGAGAGTCTTACAGCCCCTGTTAAGCTAGGGAGTAGTCTTTTACTGAAGGTTGCCCCACCTTATTCCAAACAGATTTGGGAGGACAAAGGGTGAGGTATAAAGGTGAAGCACAGGTCACCCTAACAATAACCATAACTATGATAATTAATGTCTTTCATATATATAGCACTTTACAGTTTGTAAAGGGCTTTAACATACACTCTGTAATAGTTGATCCACCCAATATGTATGTAAGATTCATAGGGTAAATATTATCATGCCCATTTTTCAGTTGATACTACCAAGGAAGGATTTGCCAAGATCACCAAATTAGTTGAGTCCACTTAAGTTCCTTGTCTTCTACTTCTGAACATTTTCCTCTGTACAACATAGGTTCTCATCCAAATTGACCACAGCATTGACTAATGAGACTTATTGGAAAAATCAAAGCTTGAGAACAGAGATGTGTTTGGCTGAGCAGAATTGTACAAAGAAATAATTTTGTTATGTTCAACCAAGATCCAGGAGGTCTGGAATACTTCCAAGACCCATAGGAGTAGAAAAGAGCAGCAATGAAGAATTTATAGTACTAAGTAGAAGGAGCTCAGGTGGTGTAGTGGTTAAGGCATTTGGCTGCTAACCAAAAGCTGGCTGGTTTGAACTGACCAGCTGCTCCAGGGAAGAAAGATGAGGCAGTCTGCTTCCGTAAAGATTTACAGCTGTAAAAACCCAATGGGGGTTGCTATGAGTCAGAATCAACTCTGTGGCAGTGAGTTGGGTTCAGTTAGGTTTAGTACCATGTGGAGCAGTTACGGCAACCAAAGCCTCACAGTGGACATAGCAGAAGACCATGTGGGAGAAGTATGCCTATATTACGTGGTGTATTTCTCAAGATAGTGAGATCATAGTCTGTCTGGCATGTGACTTTTAGAACACCTCAAAAGAGGTAGAGTTCAGGAAATGGTTATTCCTGTTGGAGACAGATAAATCTCTTTGGTGCAGAAAACTAATTAGCTTACAAGTGAGTATGCAATAAAGGATTCTGTCCTATCTGTTCTCAGAATGGTTAGGAATCCAAGTAAAAGTGTAATAAATCCCTAGAACACAACCTTGGATAAATCTTAAAACATTATGCTAAATGAAATAAGTCAGTTCTGGAAGGACAAATGTTGTATGGTCCCACTTACATGAAATACCTACACTTGTCTTACAGAGACCAAAGTTTCTTAGTGGCTACCAGGAGCAGACGGGAGAGAGAGAGAAAAGTGGGACTTGTTGCTTAAGGGAAGGAGCACTAAGTGGCACAAAGGTTAAGTGTTTGACTCCTAGTCAAAAGATTGTCAGTTAGAACCCACCTGGGAGCACCTTGGAAGATAGGCCTGGAGATCTGCTTCCAAAGGTCACCGACTTGAAAACCCTATTGAGCAGTTCTACTCTGCACACATGGAGTCACCATGAGTTGGAATTGACTGGACATCAACTAACAACAACATTGATTAAGTGGCACTGAGCTTCTATTAAGGATGATGGAAAAATTTGGTAATGAATAGTGGTGAAGGCTGAACAACATGATGAACAGAATGACTGTCACTGAAGTGTATATGTAAAAAATGTTAAAATGACAATTAAAAGTGCTGAAAGCTTTTTTACAAAGCATAAAAAGTCTCCTGGCTATTTCTTCCATAGGTGTGTCTGGCAATGTGTCATTGTCAAATCCTATTGTAATATACTAAACTCTCTTCTCATAGACACATCCACTGGATCAAATAGCAATGAAAGCTGCTTACATTTGTAATCCTTTGTAGTTGTCGTGATAATAGGTATTACAAAGTTCATGGAGGTCTTGAATCTGGTCTAATGCCACATATCCATTAACTGAAGGAGTCATGATTCAAAATCAGGTGGTCTGGCCCCAAACCCAGTGTTTCTTTAATGTTATTTGCTCTAAAAATATATTTATTTTATAATGGGAGCTTTCATTAATGTAGACTTCAACATTAGTTTTTTGTAAAATAGAGAATTTTTAGAGAGGACATGGATATGATACCATAAATTTGGTATTTGGGCTTAAATTGTAAGAACTATAGAGAATTGTATTTCTATCTATACTGGAAAGACTTGGGAAATTCAGATAGTCATTGTCAAATGAAAAGAAATGAAATAGTTAATTGTCACAGTTTTATAAAAGAAAAACAATGAAACTTAAAAATAAAGCCTTTTTCCTGCCTTGTCTGATATATATTTACGCTAATTGAATCATATAAATGTTCTACATAACAAACCTATAAAATCTGCATTTTTTAAAAAATGGTATGATATTTCATTTGTGTTTTTCCTTGAGAATGTCAATCTGTTTTTTTTTTTTTTTTTAAAGGTAACAAAAACCAAAAATAAAACACCTATTCCATTGAAAAAGGGGGATTCTGCTTTGCTGATGTGACAACTCCAGTCTGGAATTGGCCCTCCCCTAGAAATGATGGATAACATTGTGTTCTGGTTACCTAGTGTTGCTCTGACAAGAGTATACCACAAATGGGATAGCTTGAACAACAGTTTATTCTATCACAGTTTGGAGGCTTTAAGTCCAAGTTCAAAGTGCCATGCTCTAGGAGCTGGGTGAAAGCCCCTCAACCTTGGGCTTCAGCTCTGCCTCCAGCTCCCAGCCCACTGAAGCTAGCGGTGTTTCTTCACTCAGACAGCTGCTGGCTGCTGAGGCTGAGAAGCCCAAGGTTGACAAATAAAATGGCATAGTCCTGATGTTACCAGACCACACAGCAGGCCATTAACTAAGTCCATTGTAAGTCCCAAGGTCAGCAGAGCATAACAGAACAATGACATGGCTACATGCAAGGTCCAAGTGTGCCATAAGTTAGAGACCATTCCCAAAGCTGCTGCTTATATATGGGAAGCAGACCACATCCCAAAGCAGCTACTCAGCTGCTTGTGGTAGATCCCACTATGATTGCCAGTCTCATCATGGGGAATAACTACTACCAGCTGCCCAGGCACTCAACCAGGCCCAGCCAAGATGACACAAAAACATAACCACTGCACATTGCAAAGAATGGGAATTCCAGAACATTTAATTTTTCTCATGAGGAACCTGTACATTGACCAAGAGGCTGTTGTTCAAACAGAGCAAGGGGATACTGCATGGTTTAAAATCAGGAAGTGTGTTTGTCAGTGTTGTATCCTTTCACCATACTTATTCAGCCTCTATCTCTCTCAGAAGAAGTACAGCCAGTATGCTCCTTAGAACGGAGAATGGCTAGACTTTGTCTCATCTACTTTGATCACGTTGTCAGAAGGAACCATTCTGGGGAAGGATATCGTGCTTGGTTAAGTCAAGGGCCCGCAATAAAGGGGAAGGTCCTCAACCAGATGGACAGACACAGTGGCTGCAATGATGAGCTCAAGCAAAGCAGGGATGTGAGGCTGGTGCAGAACCTGGTAGTGCTTTGTTTTCTTGTACATAAGGTTGCTTTGGGAAACAACACCCGACAATGGCACCTAACAACAACAACAGTGATACAAAAGAGGAAAAAAATGGACTAATTGAATTATTTTTATTGGCATGGCAGTACCATCTACTTCCTATTGATTGGATATATTTTTTAGTTAAAAAATAATAAGAATGAATCTATTATAGTCTGTTTTAACAGTAAATCTTAATGTGTGCCAGCCAGTTTTAGAGATGAGTTTGATTTGGTTTTGCTTTTTAACAACCTAACCCTTAATTTAGGACTTTAAAGTGAATAGGTAGAAAGGGGAATATTTTTTATTTATTTATTTATTTTTTTAATTAGGATTTGGGTGAAGATTTACAGAGTAAATTCACTTTACATACAGCAGTTCACATATACTTTGTCTCATGTCATTGACCAAAATTTACAATGCAGCAGCTCCCCTCCCACTTCCTCCCCATAGTTACCTCCTCCCAGTGTCCATCCCTTCATACTCTTTGAGAGGCCCATTGTCTGCCAACCCTGTATATGATCTTGGATACACTCTCCATTTAGACATACATAATTGTTTAGCTTGTTCACCCATCTATCCGTCCCTATACCCATGTTTGCTTTCATTGACAACTCAGTAGAAAGGGGAATATTTTGAATGATTGCAAAGAAATAATTTGGATAGGGACATTGTGCTCTAGAAAACCATATTATTTGAGTTTTATATACAAATATCCAATTATTACCAATGAAGAAAAAGACCAACTTTGATTAAATACCATTAGAAAAGACATTTGTAATTCCCTTATTATCTTTAAATAAATTAATAATTTATACTAATGGCACCGTTTAAAATACACTGGAAAATTACTGAATGGACCAGATAATGCGTTGGTAGCTAAAAATATTTAAAGTTTATTTTCAATAGACTTTCTTCCAAATATGTTAAAAACAAAATGTTAGAGTCATTTATTTGCTTCTCAGTGTTTATAAACTTATGTACAAATTGTATTATGTATAAATTATAGTATTATTTAACTTTAAAAGACAAAGAATTTATCAAAGGACATTAGATTTCTGATTCATTTTTTTGAATTTTGATTATACTTAACAATTCTAAAGTGAGGGTTAAAACACAATACTCTCCTATACAACATGGCACTTACCTCCCTTTCAATGTGTCATTTAAGTGCATCTTTTAGAAAGCTCACAATATATCCTAAACTGAGGGTGAGAAACACTATCTTCCTTGTCCCATTCTTCCTATAAACTCACTCACAATTTCTCCTCAGGCTCTTTGTTTTTCCTCCTTCTTTCTGCAATTATATCATTCTCACTTTATACCTTTTAATCAAGATCCATAGAGTTAATTCTAAATAAAAAATCATTATCACTGTTTTCTGAAGTAAAGAGTACTAACATTTCTCTTACTATTTTCTCAAACAAGAGTAGGAAAATTAAAAAAAAAAAAAACAAACATAAAACTATTAAATTCACAATTTACAATAATTTCCTGAATTGGAAACCACAAATCTGAAACAAATCTTCCAAATATAAAAATAAAATTGAACTTACTGATACATCATTCACTCTCCAGAACTCAAACTCCTCTACCTCTGTGCTGCTTTGTAACTTCTGGTCAAGGAAGTAGTATCCTGGGCATTCTTTCAGATCTGTAAGATGACTAAAGTAAGAATACTTAGGGATTTATAATAAACTAGTTTAACAAGTTGGGATAGGTAAAAGTTAACCAATAGCATGGTTTGAGGTAAAGAATCACTTGATATGTCTTGTCTCAGGAAATAAGAATTTCCTTGTTCTGGCTAATTAAGTAAGAAATAATATCAAGTCTAAAAGCTAAGCAACGCCCTTGATACTTTGGGATGTTTTTATTTGTTTTTCAAGAGGTGGCAGTTTGTTCTGAGTCAGTATAAATCTGATCTTGTAGTCCCGCCATTCATCTCTTTCAGTTTCAGAGGCAAAACTGAAGTACAGTCAGAAGTCTTCATAAAACACTTGATGGCCCTGAACTTGCTTTCCTTAATGTAATTATGTGTCTGGTCCAGTAATTTATTTGTGTCTACTTTGAAGAAGGATCCAGATTTAAGATGAGAAAATTAAAAAAAAAAAAATTATTCACCTTCCCTTTTAAAAGGCTCTACTAGCTGACCCTCTCCTTTCTCTATGCACTTCTTTTTGACTGCATGCTTGGCTACATCATTTGACTTAGCCAAACTCATTTTCCCCCATTGAATCATTGCCACACATTCCTAATATATCTTTTTGTTTATATTGAATTACCCAATTCAAAATCTGCTTCATTGTCACTTACAGGTCATTTAATTGGAATCTGTCTACACAGGGTCCATAGACTCTAAAGCCTGTTAAACAAAGTCACAAAAAACAGTTGCCTTACAGTTGATTCATAGTCATGGTGAATACAGGCCAATTCTCTAAGGTAAAACACCTGGGGAGGTGTTTAGTCCAGAAGTTCTCCCCTGATTTCTATAGTCTTTACACTATCTGAACAACTCTTGACCCACTCTTCTTTAAGTAAGCATGTGGTTTTAATTATGCTTCTTTCACATTTGCCATTTCTTCTGTTAGATTTTGAATTATTTCAGAACAGAAACTGTGATGTCATTAAATGCACTCACCTGCATCTCAGCAAATACTCGGTCATTCAAGATTTACTGTGTCTTTTTTTAGATCAATTTAGCAGTTAACACTTCTTTGCATGTTTCATCTGCTTTTTTGCTTTTAAAAAAAGTGTTTCGGGCAAAGTAGAAGCTCATAAGAATTAGAATTAATAAGTGAACATATGGAAAAATACTCCAATTAGCTTGTAAATCAAGATTCTATACCTATTTCAATTTCATATCACTGTGCAACAAATTACCACAAATTTGGCAGCTTAAACCCCCCTGATTTGTTATTTCACAGTTCTTTAGGTCAGAATCTGGGCAGGCTTGACTGAGTTCTCAGTTTAGGGTCTCACAAAGGTGAAATAAATGTGTTAGGCTTGTTGAGCTCTTATCTGGAGAGTTGGGGGAAAAATTATTTCTAAGCTTATTCCTTGTGATTGGGGAATTGAAGTTCCTATTTCCTTGATGTCTGTCAGCAAGGGGCCACCTCAGCTTCTAGAAGTTTCCTACATTTTTTGACACTTTATCTTCAACAATAATGTGCTGTGTAGCACACACTTTGAATCTGACTTTCTCTTCTGCTTCTAAAGGGCTTGAGTGATTAAATTCACTCACTCAGTCTCCCTTTCGACTGACTCCAAGTCACCTAAATAACTAATAACAATTATACCTGCAAAATCCCTTTTGTCATGAAAAGTAACATAGTCATGGCTATAATACCTCATCATGTTCACACTTCTGAGGATTAGGACAGGAAGTGATTCAGTGTATCATTTTAGAATTCTTTC